AAAAAAAAACAGATTTATTCATGATTTTTAGTTGAATAACTTTACCAGCTGTTGTCTGATGTTAGGAGTCATTTATATATGACATGAAAACATTTGGAAATCCCCTTCTTAGGCTGAACCGTCCGTGCTGCCCCTGCCCCACGGCGAAACCTAATATCAACAAGCTGCAGTGCTGACCTGTAAACTCTAGGGAGCAGTAGACTACAAGCCATTACATTCCTTCCAGGGAAGCTTAACAGATGGTGCTGTATTGTATGAAGCACTCCATCATGCCAGCAAAGACCTGGTAGGAGTGAAATACACTAATTATATGTCATATGCATATTCACTGCAGGCCTATGTGTAATTAATAGCAAGTAAATTTTTTAAAAAGCACAATCTCAATGAGAAAACTGTCCCTCTGTGTCTGGCCAAAGTGAGCTATGTCTCACAGCCATGTGTGCTTTAATAACCCGCTGTTAAGGAACTTCTTGAAATACCCTCTCCATAAGTGGCCTCTATATCGGTGTATAGTGCGGCTGCTCCACTCTGATGAAACACACACTTTCCATGAGAGTATAGAGGAAACTAATCAGTAGCCCCGAGCTAGGTTTTTAGAATCAGGAGAAAAGTTGTAAGTAGATTTGTTCAAACTTTAGGATATATTATATGATTCTCTCCATATAATTTCTGCCTTCTAGCTCAGATTTAAATGACCATTCAAGGTATAGGGAAATTATGAGATTATGGTATGTTATTGAAGAGTTTATTTGGCTGCTTTCAGAGGAGGGTGTGGGTGTGATTGAGAGAGCGAAGCTGAGGAATGTTCTAGTCTGAGCCATTTAAATATTAGATCGTTTTTAAGCAGCAGAAAGGTGGACCGCGGCAGATTTCCCCTCCGTTAGGGCTTTTTAATGGAATTTTCCACACAAGTTGGAGTGTGTTGGACCCAGTGTGGGCAGCTGATAATCAAGCATCCCATTCCAGAGCCTCAGTACAGCCGACAAACATAAACCTGGTCTGATAGGGGGAGAGGGCACAACCTAACGGAGGGAAGATGAAATGTATTTAGGTAATCATCGCAGTGTGTTGTGGGTGTGTGGATGTATACAATTGTGAGTAAGTGATCACAGCTTTGTGTCAGGACAGTTGGAGTAAATTCGAGAGAGTTCTATAATATAAAGGTCAAAATGAAAACTACTGCTACTTAAAACAGGTCAAACTTTTTTGGTCCCCTTTTTAGAAATGTGAGAAAACTGTCAATATATATGCCTGCCATTATTATGTAACAAGTCATAGCTCAATTAATGTTAAAAACACTTCAATTCACTGCTACTGTTCTCTGGGTTTAGTCTCTCCTGACTTGAACATCCGTCTTTCACTTCTCCCCACAGGGACCACAATAGAAATAAGGCTTCATTATTTTTTTATGCTTGACAATTTTAATTTTAGAGACTGTAATCTTGTCAAATAAATCTCTTAAGCAATTTGTTAAAAGTTGTAAATGTAACTTTGCTCAGGGATCAGCCATGGAAATGATCTGGTGCTGTTCATAAGGCTTTATGGTGTGTGTGTTTTGAATAGTGTTCCAGTTTCTCTTGGGGCAGACATAAAAGAATAATTTAAACTCTGTGTTATATGACATACTGTACGTTCATACTGTGTGCTTGTGCCAGAATAAAAATATACATGAAATAAATAAAATGTGCAGAACAATTTAAATCCAATTGGAGTTGACAGTAAATCAACCTGTTTATTGCAGAAACATAGCCACTGTAAATGTTATAATAATATTTAATTTGACTACTGAGTGTGTCAGTATTTTAATCTATCATATATACACTGATCAAATGCTCTGTACGTCTTAGTAACTACTAACTAGTAATTAAAGCTGTCAAATAAATGTGGAGTGAAAAGTACACTTATTAGCATAACAGTACAGCAATTAGCATATCAGTACAATTATTAGCATAATATAAAAATACTTGAGTAAAGTACAGTTACCTTAAAATTGTACTGGAGTACAGTATCAAGTAAATGTACGTAGTTACCATATGTTCCACATTGTTGACCCTGTCATAAAGTGCTGCCATTTAACCTCTCCAACAGGACCATGACAGAAATAAGTTTTTAGCTTTATTATACTTTTGTCCTCAACAATTTCAATTTTATTGGGGATAGTGTAAAGGAATTAGATACCAATTTTAAAATCAACTTTGTGCAACACACAACAATTTAAGTCACAGTAAGAAAGAAATTAAATCAACCTAGTCACCTGTTAAGTACAGTTTCATTATAGTACCTTTATAGAACTTTACATAGAAGATCATTTACTTAAACAAGCTATTATTATTGCAAAAATGAACACCCTTTCACTTAGTGTGTTAGTGGTCTTGGTGGCAGCAGCTGAGTTGGCTTATTGTGAGGGCTGGTCATGCAGCCTAAACACAATTTTACATTGTAAAAAGCTTATTTTAGTCCCATCCTACATATTTGTTTTACGTTGTTTCTCGATTTCTAAGACTCAAGTAATGAAACTGGGATCCACTTGATCTTCATCATCACCATAGCACAGCAGAAGTCTGAGAATGTGTAACACTTTTTCATTGGTTTAATACATTTTAACACCCTTTTTAAAAACAGTTAACACAGAAAGACCCCAAACTCTACTAAGTTAATGTGTTAAACATAAAGAAAACATCTAGATTACTTGAATAATTATGAATCATGAATGAACCTGTGTGAAACTCCATTGCAGAACTCTTCCATCATCAATCCATCCTCATCCATCTAGAAAAGATACCACCTCTGTGTTGCAAAGGCATGTAAGGAGAGTAAGAGGCTATGGCAGAGGGGCATGAAAACAAACCAAAAGTTTGTGTGTATCAATTCAAGAAAAATACAGTACAAAAGCTGAACCACAATGACTGTGGTATACAGTTACCTTTTTGTAGATCCTGATTACATAACTCATTCACATGTAATCTGTTTCTCCCCCAGCCTGCATATATAAAAACAGTTTGTGTGCATGGAAAGATCTGCACATAATAATAAAGTCAAAAAAGAAAACCTTAGAAAAAGTTTCTTTTTCAACAGGGTGTCGCAAAAAAGTGTAAAAAGTAAATCATCTTTGGAGATATCACAACATGAATTGTTGTGATATTGCCTTGCATGCCTTTTTTGGCACATACAGTAATCTCTAGGATTGTTTAATTTAGTGAATAAATTCACAGATTTCTGAATTCAGCATTTGCACATATAATATGTGAAACTATTGCACAATAGGACTTTCTTCCATCTGTGAAGCTCTCTCCATCGTGCTGGTTTGCAGCAGTGTAACCAGAGTGCTCTCTTTAACACATTGGAGTCAGATTGGATTTATGCACACACCCAACAACCAGATGCTCCATGGTTTATATTGCTGTTTGATAGCGCGGGAATCCTCAGTGATGTCATTCGCAGAGCCGTAATGCTTTACAAACACGCTCCATTCCTGAAACAGACTGCTGTGCATCTTATGAGAGTCTAACAGCCTGTTTATAACGACGGCCAATACCATT